CCAATAGTAAATACCAAAAATTTATGACTTACCGATTAGTCGACAACATATATTAATACAGATATGGGTAACAAGACTTGAACTTGTAAAGTAAAAAAACTATTCCGTCCTAAGCGGAACCTGGTTACCAATTTCAGCATACCCATGTTATCCTAATTTGCTCGAGATAAGACTTGAACTTACAACCTAATCAGCTTCAGTGATTCGCTCTACCAATTGAGCTTCTCAAGCTTATATTATTAATAACTAGAATATAGAATTAAAAACTAAATCATTTAAAGATTCTAAAAAAAAAAATTCTTTTTTTTCTTAACACTAACATATATTAATGTTATTGGAGTTATCAGGACTCGATCCTGAAATAACGATATGCAAAATCGCCGTTTTACCAGTTAAACTATAACCCCTAATATACCCGAGAAACGAGTCGAACGTTTACGGCTTGCGCCACTTAAGCTTAAATTAAGACTGTCTACCAATTCCAGCACTCGGATTAAATAAGACCAAAATGACTTGAACATTTACTCAAACCATCATGAGTGGTTCGCTTTACCGATTAAGCTATGATCTTTGGTTGCGGACTTAGGACTCGCACCTAAATTTTATGGGCATGAGCCATATATGTTACTATTACATTAACCCGCATTAAGAGATAGGTGACTTGAACACCTGACCTTTCGCGTGTAAAGCGACAGCTCTACCAACTGAGCTAATCTCTTTTAACCCAAGGGAGATTTGAACTCCCGCACTAACAGTGAAAATGTTATGTCTTAACCAGACTTGACCATTGGGTCTTTATATATTAAATTACAAATATTAATTAATTGTAATAGCCTAATGCAAGTATCGCACTCACTTCTACCGATTACAAAACGGTTGCATTACTTTTATGCTAAAAAGGCGTTATTTAATTAATAATGATATGCTTATTAGCTAGTATTATTATTATAATTAGTACTTTATATCTAAAAATGTTTTCATTCTTACAACCAAAGCCTATTAATTGTTATTAATAACAATTATACTCGTAGTGTTCTACTACGTTTAAAAGTATAATAAAGTTTGCTTCGCGTTTAGATGCTTTCAACACTTATCTTTAACTGATGTAGCTTTCCTGCCATGCCTATGGGATCAAAATACTTTAGTATAAGCATTCGATATAAAATTTTAATTAAAAAATAATATATACCATAAACAACAGGTAAACCAGAGATCAATATACCCAACTCCTTTCGTACGAAGGGGCTATCTTTAATTTACTTTAAATTCCTCTAGAAGATAGAAACCATACTGTCTCACGACGTATTAAACCCAGCTCATGTAGCTCTTTAATCGACGAACAGTCGAACCCTTCATGATTTCTGCATGCATGAGGATGAGCTAAGCCGACATCGAGGTGCCAAACCCTAAACCCTAAACCCTAAACCCTAAACCCTAAACCCTAACCCTAAACCCTAACCCTAACCCTAAATTAACCCTAAATTAACTCGCGCGCTACGCGCGCACCATACGATAATCAATCACCATCACGATCATAACCTTAATCCTTACCCTTAAACTGTAATGTTTCGCCCCTCCCTAATATGCAAAACCCTGAAACCCGCACTATAACTCTATCTAACACATTCCACCTAATTAATTAACCCTCGCGTTTCCTGCAAAATCCTCCTGCCCGCTTATAATATTGACCTTTAATCCTCGCCGATAACCCTAATATCTAAAACCCTGAACACCGCCGAATAACCGTAAACCCTGAACACAATTACGTGATCTAGGCTAACACTACCAATCGGAACCCCCTAAACCCTGACCACTGACCCTTACACCACCCGTTGTAACTAATCCACTCCCTCCTATTAATCGCTAACTCCACTACGAATCTATCGCCCCGCTCTGTCTATTAATCGCTAAATATACTCGTCGTCTAATATCTATAACTCCTATTCCCTTTTCCTAACCCCTGCCCCGACCTAGCAACATTAATAACCCTAATATATATCTCCCTAACCACAACGCCTAAATCCTCTTATTTAACCCTAGACCCTTTTCCTTGCGTATCGCTATCTTCACCTTACGATCTCTACCTCTCCCTATCTCCCCCTATCTATATCTTTATGTCCCCCTGGAACTCTATCTTTCTCCGTCCTATTCACAATGTTCTTCTACTGAAATATTTCTACCCGCCTCTCCCTATGTCTATATAAATATCCTTAACCCCCTAAACTGGCAACCCTGAACCCTAACGATATCCTTCCTCTATCACCCTATAATCCGAACTGCCCTATCGTAATAATTCCTATGTCTAATTGCATCCCCCTATACTATATATATCCTGAATCACGATTCAACCCCTTCCTGGAATCAAAACACTGAAATCCGTCTATATCTAAACTGCCTTATCTATTATTCTATGCCTCTTCTTACCTATCTCTCGATATATATACCTATCCTATCTACCGTACCTCGGCACCCCATCCACCTCGGTCCTATCACCGAACCTATGAACCCTGACCCCGATCGTGACCTCTACCTTAACCTCTCTTGCAATATCTCCCCCTATATATACATTTATCTACTTGCTCTGTCGATGACCTTGCTATCGATCGTCTGCTAAACCTTCCTTGTTTAAATGTTTCTTAGCGCCGTGGTCCTCCCCCTACCCTAACCCTATGTTGCTAATTAAACTTAACCCCACCTAATATCCCTGACCACCCTATGTAAATTTCACCACCACTCAAATCTGCTAATATAAATCTAAAAATATATATCTATAAATATATATCTAGGAACTTTTATCTCTATATATGTTAATCCCCAAATTGTTATAACCTATTGACCCTATGCCCCACTCCCTATGGATGTTGCGGATGTCCTAATATATATCCGTCTCCCACAATCGGAATATCTTAACACTACTATCAAAAAACCCTAAATATCACATTAAAATTACTTTCTGCCAATATAATCCTTCCCTAATACCTATGCTGTTGATATATCTATCGCAAAATAATATACTCTTGCACTAACTGGGAATGCCCGGTGTCCGTGCCCTGCGCAACATACTCTCGCACTGCGTCTAAATTGCCCTCTCGTACACCAGCGCCTCTTATCCGCTACGACCACCATCGATACCTAATGCCGCCCTAGCTAGGTGACTCCCAATAAATCAACATCGCCATTATTGGATACAAAAACTGCCGGTACCGACATTGCTAGATACCCTGCCAACCCAAACAAATAGACTGCGGTACACCACAACTATAACAACAATATAACCCCGCCTTATACTGGATTGGGTCCCGAATCGCACGCACCCACCGCTTACACTCGGCACTCTGCTCGTGCCGACATAACCATAAATCATAATATATATTATTCGCCCCCGCTTGCGTGCACAACTAACATTTGTTGCTCCACTCCTAGGCTTCTTGTGACAAAAACTCTTCGTCTAATAACTGCTATGCCTTACCGGACCGCACCGCCGCCGTAATCGCCGTCTGCACTATCTACTATTAGTGGTATCGGTGCTAGGCTTCGATCGGAACCTCGTGCTCGGACGGGCTGCGCGGACTGCTCAGCTCGACTTCCTGCATCTCGGCGTTATAGTCCTTATAGCTGCCCTCGATTATAGGTTCGGCGGCTACCCACTATAGGTGATATTGATCACACCGTTGCTCATCGACACCGAATTGCTGGTCCTGGTCGCCGCATTACTAATGGGTGTATCCATCGATATCCCCATCCAAATACCTATCCAACACCACTCGACGATACCAATGCGCACCGGCGATGTACTACCGGACTAACTCTAACCTAGCTTGCTCACGGTCCGTGTTCTAGTTAAACCATGCTAGGACCTCGTTAAACCCTTCGGGCTAGATAATGATCGCCTCACTGGGCAAATCGTCGCGCCCAGCGCGGCCACTTTCCTAGGCGTAATCTAATAATGACCGGGGGAACCCAATGTAAATGATGCATCGAATATCTAGAATGTCCACCCCTATCCCTAACGCATTGGTGGCCGCAATCACCCTATTGCCCGCACGGCGGAACTGCTCTAAAATGCCTAACTTCTTATCCTAGTCGCTATAAAATACGGAACACCCTAACATCTCGGCCACCTAGGTTACGATAGGCTTAGTACTGCCATACACAATCACTCGACCGGGCCGCGCCCGCTACACCCGTTCACGAATAAACTAATGGACATCGGGGTCCTCTAACTATTGCGTTTAGGAATGATACTTCAATGAAATCATAGGTTAGTACACACGGTATGCCACATTGTGACGACTGGTCCGCGCGCGGTATATACTGATGGCGTCCCGTCCAACTCCCATTCGCTTAAATAACTGGCCTTCTTCGCGTGGCGGCAACATAGCAGTCAAAAACACCATCTGCGCACTAAACTGATGCATCTAACCTAATTGCTGCAACCGCGGCCGGAATTTGTCGGACGTGTTTAACATTATATAGTATTCGTCGATGATAATCCAATCCAATCGTATATTATCGCGCTAGCGGTTTAAAAACGACACGAACTCGTCCGTGAACACCGCCTCCGGGGTCACAAACATAATAGCCGCGTGGTCGGGATGGCGATGACTCTCCCACTCGACGCATAGAATCCCAGCGGCTGCGTATCGTCGCTGTAAATCGATACGTAACGTAATCAACGGAACCACAACGACCGTTAACCCGCCTCGTTAGCCCACCCACGCGGGTAATATGAACAATATGCTCTTGCCACCGCCCGTCGGCATTACTATAATAACCCGGGAATCTCCTCGTTGGATAGCATCAATGGCGGCGCCCTAGACTCCACGGAACTGCATCGTGGCGTCACTAGTCATTCGCTACAACGCCTCGGTTATGTTAGTCGTCTCGACTAAATAGTGGCGCTGATCTCGCATCTTTATATCGTCATTCTTCCACTAAGGCTTTGTTCGCTTGCCTAATACGCTACTCGGGACGTTCTTAATGTCGTAACCCAAAAAATCATGCCAATGGACGCTGCTGCTCCGGAATCCTGCCTGTCGGCCCGCCGTCGTCCCTTACTACTAGCTTATTATCCGTCCGTATACTATCTCGGCTATATGGGTAGTGTGCGCGGCTTGCAAATCGGCAATATATCGCACCTATTAATCGTCGTCTATTTCGTCCTCGTTTTCATCATCATCGCTAATGACCTCGGTTCCATCCTCGCGGACGTTGTGCGGGAACGCTTTGACGCTGCCGAAATACTTCCGGCTGATGGCAATAGCAATATCGCGGTACGCGGATAACGACAATCCGTTGTGTAAACGTATCTTGCTTTCCTAGACCATCACATCCGTCACCCGCGCGGGCGTCCACTCCCGTCCACTGCCGGCATCCACCCCCTACATCTTAGTGGTATGCGTATCGGGAACGGCATCCACGCGGTATGCCTCTTTATGGTATACCTATAACATCTCGACAAATGGCAACACCAACCATAAATACCACACCACTAACTCCCCCACTTCACGGGGCACGTACCGATGAATCACCTTAGCATCACCGCTCGCGTAAAACCCCTTGTGGTACCGGGTGACAAATGCAACTAATCCATCTTTAATGAATACATTGCGGTGTCCACTGGCGGCACTATTGCGGTGATGGATACTCAATAACTCTAGGCCTCTCGGGGGCTAGCTAGCTATAATGTGGACGCAAATGGCTAATTTCTCCTTGAAATCGTTGACGAACCCGAAAAACCGTTGGATCGCATCGATACTAAACCAGTTGGTCTTGGCTTGTATGAACCACTACTGTAATGGACGTTCCTCCTACACTCGGTCTACCATCCACCGGGACCCTTCGACGGGCCACAGCGTGCGCTCGTCCTGCAAAAAACTCCACCTAGCCTTGGGCTGGTTGAAATCGTCGGCTATCCAATCCCATAGGATGACGGGAATTTGATTGGGTCGGCACCGCAAAATTTGGTTGACCATCAACTGCCGTGCGCTGGCCATCAACCCATGGATAAACCCGCGGAATGCCCCCATAGTGAACCGCATCGTTTTGTATAACAACTCATCCCCGTTGCCCCAACCGATGTGCCTAGCGGCCGGCGTATTATAATGGATCTTCAATCTATATCGACGTAAATCCATTATCCATTCCATCAGACTAGCGATACTATGCACTATGAACTTGGTGACCATAATGCGAATCCATTCGCGCCATGTCTTGGGGCCTTCCCGTGCCTGCTAGGTGAATGCGACGGGTGGTGGGGGGCTGCTGGACAAACTATTAAATATAGGCGAACTAGACGGATAATCCAGTGTGCGGGCTCGTTATAGGGTCTAGGGCGGACTGCGGCCATCCCGTTGATGCGAAAATATATAATCGACTGGGCTAGGGTTATCCCACTCCCCCATCTACTTATTCTCCCCGATCTATAATAACTCGCGCGCATCCGGGTCTAATAAAAACGACTGGTGCACGATAATAAACCGGGACACCTTGATCACACTGGACAAAATCTAGGGGTAACTGTGGGGGTCCTTCTATAGCCGACCGGCGTTATGGTCACTTACACCTAACACGGCTAACGCATAAACCAACGCTAACTCGTACTCGCTCGATCGAATGCGCTAATTTAATAACTTAATTATAAATTCTATGCAATCGGCTTCTACGGGGTGTAATGCATCCGGGTTCGGGTCGGTACCATCAATAGGGATTGGCTCGGGCCGGCCCTTGTGACACTCGGCGGAATGCCATAATGCGTCCCACACCTCGCGTTGCCGTTTACTGAACCGGTACACCGGACTGTTCTAATTATGTTGGACTTGGGTATAGGCGAAAAATATCAAAATGCGGCGCTATAGGTCGATATGTCGCTCTAACTCATCGTCCGCCTTTATATATGCCTGCAATGGCTTCGACGGGATCTTCTCTATGCCGGTGTAGGCGGCTTCGATCCGTAATAAATGTCCCGTCCGCTTAGTGATATTCTGGCTTTTGCTGACAACGCCCAACACGGCATCCCAAATCACTCGTGCGGTACCCTTATCCCCCTCCGCCTCTTCCTTCGGGCTTTCAATGTATATCCGCAATTCCTTAGGCTTGCGTCCGCGTAAATACACTGCCTATCCTGTTCGGTCTAACTATGGGTTGGCTTCGTCGATAGCGCCGGGCTAGATCTCGCGTTCTAACTACATTTTCCGCGTAAATACCTCTCGTAACTGGTCCACGGCTTCGGCAACTTGTATAGCCTGGGGGGTGGTGCTTCGGGCTCGTACTAGGGACCGGGATGGCGAACGTGGATGTAATACGACCCCGATCCATAGGGGAAAACCCGCTGATATACGACTTGCTTAACTCGCCCCTCTTGGTTCTGCTTGCCCGCGGCGACCTCGGATAGTCTTGGCTTGCCGCTATAGCCGTACGCGGAAAACTGGTGCTCCTTCGACTAATGCACTCGCAAACTGTCGCGACTGCGGTAAATCTACCAGCAAAATTGGCACTGCAACCTATCTTGGTAAATGGGCAACACCGGAATGGGACGGCTGACGGTCGTGGGGAACGATCTAGTCTCTTCCTCGACGCTGTTCTATTCATCGGTATATCGGATGGTGTCTACCACTTGCTCTACAACGCGTTTGCTAATGCGGTGCTTGCCCTTGGGGTTGGTTAAATGACGGACTATCTTATTGGGCTTGACGCTATGCTCGCACTGGCGACATATAGCAACTCCCCACTGCTTGTTGCAAATGAAATACTGGTCGGCAATCGTAGGTTCTAGGGGTTCACTTATGCTAAACGTTGTTATATATTTCACAATACGGATTGTCCTCTGAATGTATATTAGGGAACCCCTATCCCTAGGCGTTGCTTAGGTATTAATGAAATTAAAACGGGGGACTGATCGGAACCCCTAAAATCTACGGCTAAATTTTCAAACGAATCGAACTAATAGTGCGTGTGTGATATATCGCGTGGCGGTTAGTGATGGGGTTTTATGATATTAGTGATGGCGCGCCCAATCGTACCCCATCAAAATAATTCCCCAACTTTGAATCCCTATAACCATCTCTCGAAAACGTTAGATGACCTCGAATCTCGGGATAATAAACCATTAACTATTCAATTAGACCTAGTAAAAATTTGAACGAAAAAAATCCACGGGAACGTAACTGTAACGGCACCCTGAAGTTAACTATAATCTGCCCCCTCTAGAAACCCTAACGCCATATAAAAAAATGCTGACTAAACTATAATGCGCCTTATTACAGTTCCCCCTATAGGATAGGCTAAAGCTAGATTGATTCAACCTAACTAGGCCGTTTGCAGTTTACTAAAAACGTCCTAGTTAGGTTGAATCAATCTAGCTTTAGCCTTTCACATACTAAAAACGTCCTCTTTTTCAAGAGTATTCCACTGGAAAGGACTAGATAGGTGCGAATTCTCCTGAATCGCCACATAACGTTGAATATATATATACCCCTAAACACCACATTGGTCGGACGCGAAACTATAATTTCGCCCTAGTTAACAGAAAGGTCCTCCCAAGAGGACAATATATTAGTCGGACGCGAATATATAATTTCGCTCCAGTTGATAGAAGGGTCCTCCCAAGAGGATAACACATCGGTCGGACGCGATCTCTTTGAATCGCTCTAATTAGAAGCCCTAGCCACTATACCGCTAGGCAATATCGAAAATGGAAGGGAGCGTAGAACCCTCAAGCCCGCCCGCCTAGGCATAAGTATTGCTCCAACAATTAGCCTAAACCGTGGTGGATCAGGAAGAAAAGGCAAGAATAATAGATGAAAGAGCGAGAATGCAGGAGGAAAGGATAAAGAGGCTAGAGGAATTTATCTACCACAACGCGGCCGAACGGCCTCAATCGATCACGGAACTAATAGTGAACACGCCAAAGACCTAAACACGAGTGATCGCTAAAGAAAGGACACGACGCCTATAGGCACGATTACCTAACCTATCCACCTTTAAAGGAAATCGATCGGAATGGCCCATCTTCTGGATGGCTATAGAGAATAAGCTACTACTAGACGCAGAAGCCTTAGGGGACGATCGCGTATATCTCCTCTATATTTACTCACGGCTAGAAGGGAACGCGAGCAAAAACATGGTGGCCTTTATGCAACATCGACGTATAGACGGAAAGGCCTAAGACCTTATCCAATACCTAGAAAATATTTACGGCGATCCAAACATCAAAAGAAGGGCCACCCAACGGCTACGAGAAATACGTCAAGGAACGAAATAGACCTTCGCTACGTTTTTACCCCTATTCAAGAAGGAATTCGCAGATTCGGGAGCAATGGTATAGCCAGAGGACGCGAAAGTGTCTATACTAACGGGGTCACTTAACCTAACTATGCGGACAGCGCTATTATATAGAGATATCCCCGAAAGCTTCTCAGAACTCATCTTGCTATTGCGACGGATCGACACCAATCTCGACCTCTTATCCTCCGAGCCGAAGCGTTCTAAGAACTAGCACGAAAAGCAAACAACTCCTACGGTCGCTATATACGAATAAATAGATTGGTCCCTAGCGTCCCTAGTTATTATAAACTCCTTACGATCGCGGCCGGAAAGCAGGAATTCTAATAGATAACGAGCGAAATGGGTCCTATAGTAAGAGCTAGATCGTCGCCGTTCGGAAGGCCTATACCTACGTTGTGGACGAAGTAATTGTCGAATCGCTACGTGCCCCTTCCGGCCCGCGATTCTACCCAAATACGCCTAATAGGCTACTCGCGTGACGACTGCCGCGGTGGAAGAAGATAAAGAGAGAACGCCTATTATCGGCCGCCGCGAGGAATAGAAGAGGGCCACTAAAGTGGCTAGAATACGAGAACACGGAGACGATCGCTCGTCGTTGTCGGAAGAAGATTCGGGAAACGAGTAGCTCCTGCTAAAATACGCAGTCAGGAGCTAACTGGAGCTGAGAAGCTATTGAAACAAGAGAATCACCCCTTTTTTGTCGATTCACTAGTGAATAGAATCCAATTCGCGAAGGCACTAGTCGACATAGGCTGCCTTTCGTACGCCACCGTGAACGATTCTCTTGTTCAGTCTCTCGATCTCCTGCGTATTCGTATCCCTACGAGAACATTAGATAGTGTCGTCGAGAACTAAGGAAAAATCGACTTTATAACGTATTTCGATCTAGACGTCTACGGCCACTAGCAATAACGAGTGTACGCGTACATTATTCCCTGATAGACAGACGAGATGATCCTAGGGAAACTATGGTTAGAGGACGTGGATGGATGGTATTCGG